GGGAGACAATGTGTGGTTGGAAGAGGCCATTTGATATCGGTGAAAAAGGAAGGGGAAAAAAAAGAGGAATGGTAGTAATGCCTAATAGGCTCGATACCAAATTGAGTTTATATTGAAGTATGGAAAGACCGGAAAATCTCTCTTGTATTTTACTTAGGATTTGATTCATTCTTTTATAGTATTACAATTGTTGTAGCTTTAGGACTCTTAATGATAAGTGTACATTAACTTCTATCTAGCTATAGTATTATTTAAACATAAAAACTTGTACTGTATCATGGCAGCTGATGTAGGTCTCTTCTCATGACCAGTGTTGGAGGAACCATTGCTGCCATAACTTGTGTTGCAGAGGAGTCTGAGTAGGCTGATGCAAATCCTTGGCTTAATAGGCATAGGTCTTGTAGTTGATATGAAATTGTATTAAGTGTTAAGTTATAAAAACTAATGTGTGACTCATAGTTTAGTATGTTACACAGATTCAATACGACGGTTTCATTAGTTATCCACGTTATAAATATAAACAATATCTCCTATATTTATAATCGTTAATTGAAAAATTATAATAAAAACTCTTAAGTACAACTCGTGGAATAGGCACACTTGCTAAATCAAGTAAATTTTTATGTTGTATAATTATTTTTTGTTTTTTTGTTTTATGTTCTTATTTGATTTTTTTCCTCACACTAAAAAATAAACATACATTTTCATAATTTACAAATAAAATAGAGTATACTTAGATAACCATAGAAAAATAAAATTATAGTATAGTAAACATAACTGTTGTTCTTAGTACTAGCTAGTTGCCCAGCTAGTGTTGCATCTAAATGCTTTTGCACCAGTTTCTATGCCATGACCACTTGCTTCTCCTCTGCAAGCATTGTGCCAACAGTAAAAAGCATAATGTAGGCCCCCCAATCACTGCATGAGTTAATTGGCTTCGACAGCTCCTTGTTAAGCTGACTAGTCCGTTCCTCATCCCAGACTTTCAGATTAATATAGAACATTCTTATATTATTTTTCCCCTAATGTAGCCATGTATTTTTTTTTTATTCTTCATCTCTTTCTACTCTTGTATTTTTTTAATATGATCCGTCTAATTATTTTTTACTCAATTTTCTAATAAAAAATGACAGTTGGTATAAGAAATTCTCCATGGCATGACATGTTAAATTAATTTACCATGTGAAAAAAAAATCGAAACCATAACGAAACTGTCCCGACCACTTCTTAAATTTTTGAATCCTTCTCTTTAAATTTTCCAACCTCTTCTTCTCTTCTGCTGGAGTTGGATGGGAAAATTCACAGAAAAGGATTGAAATATTTGAGAGGTAATATAGTCTAGTTTCATAATTTTTCAACCTTTTTGTTTTTTTGTTTTTTTTTAATTTTTACATGTAGAAAATTAATCTAACGCATCAAGCTATGTGAACTTTTTTATACCAATTGTCGATTTTGATAAATAAATAAAAAAATCGGTCAAAAAATAATTATAGAAACTACTTTAAGAAAAATTCAAGAATAGCCAAAGATGAAAAATAAAAACATACATAGCCACATTAAAATAAAATAAAATAAATAGAAAAACATTTCGTACGATTAACATCAAGATCTTCCGATCATGATCAACAATGCCTGCGTTTTCATACGCCTTTGCCTGCGGCAAAACCCTAAAACACACCAACGCAGGATTTCCAAGTTATGAACTAGCTAGAATGGTTGACGAGAGAAAGATCTTCGGCTTCTTAGGAAGCTTCTAAGGTCGGTGACACCAAAACTTCTTAAGAAGGCCCAACAATTAAAGGTAATCCTATACCAGATCCAACAAGCCTCAACATTAGGGCCCAATAGAATGGATAACGAAGAAATGAAAAGGAAGAATTTGGCTACTATGGACAGGTGACAGGTTGAATTAGCCCAAAAAGAAATCAATATTTTGAAACAAATTGGTTACTTGTGGATCCAATAAGAAAAGGTGGAAATCACAACCTTAGTTTTTTTTTCTTTTCTTTTTTTCCTTTTAAGTTCAATGATGAACAAATATCATCAAACCAGTTTACAAATCAATCCAAATTAAATCTCTGTATCAAATAATTTTTAAAAGCTTAAATTTTATATCAATGGTATATTTAGAAAATTAAATTTTATTTTCTTGACCACCAGAATTACTTTTCGGGATTATTCATAGCTTAATCTTGCTAGCAAATTATACCTTCGTTTGATTAAAGGGCACAAATTAGAGGAAATCAATTTATTATGTAATTGTTGTTGGGTTTGTGAGTGAATTTTTCCAGGAAAATTATTTTTATGAAGATTGTAATTCTAATTTTATAACCAAAGATTGTGTGAAGTAGCTAAACGAGTTGCTAAACTATGACATTAAAAAAAAAAAAAAAAGAAATTATATGCACTTTACTTTTATTTGAGCATTTTGGAATCTTATTATACAATTCCTTTACTGTTGCAATATTGACTTATAGTTCTCCAATGTATTTCAGGCCCCATGCACTGAAGCTTCCTAAAGAAAGAGTAGGGTTTGGTCCATTTTGAAGGACTCTCATATAGTGGGAATTCAAGTTCTGAATAATGGCGGCTTAGAAGGTTCCTTGCTTTATGACAAAAGAAAACGGTGGAAATTAGATTTTTTAAATAGAAACAAAAAAAAACTGGAAAATGAAAATTAAACAATGTCCAAGTGTGTTTGGCTTTTGAGTTAAGAGTTAAAAGGTGTGTAAATTAATATAGAGTAAATAGTTCAATATGTTAATAATTTGAGTTTCTAATCTGATTTTATGTTTCTAATTACGTTTCTTATGTTCTTAAATAATATTTAACTCATCAATCAGCTATTCCAATCAATTATTTTCAATTATAAATAATTTTTTGATCAAAATATTCCTAATTGAAATGCAAAATAAAAAAAAATTAAATATTTCAAAATAAAACATACGAGATCATATGACTTTAAATGATTTTTTTTTCATTTTAGTTAAATACATTTCTATCAAAGAACTTATCAATTGTCGAAAAAATTAATTAGAATGATAGATTAGAGACTTAAATATTATTTAGAAATATTACGGATGCTATTAGAAATGTTGAAATTGATTAAAGATTTAGACTATTTTATATATATATATATATATTTTCTTTCTCCTTAAGATTTGAACTCAACCAATTATGTGCAATTTTTGAGGTTTGTCCTTATACGTTAATTTAATTTTATTCATCTATTTTACTTTTTGTCGGATGAATTTGTTAGTTAAAGTTGAGTGAATATGATATTATAAATAATACCCTGACCTAGAGAAAGTGCTCAAAACCAGCATAATTTTCAATCCAGTAAAAGTAAACATGATTTTTTTTTTCAACAATATTGGCTAAAAAGGTGTAATACATAGAGCTCGAGCCTTGAGTGGTCTTCACGCTTCACCATTTTTTTAAGCACAAGTGGGAGGGTTGGTGACATTTTTTAGACGATAGATTCTGCAGAGTTGGTGGAAACTATCATTCGTGGAAACTATCATTCGACTCTTCCAACTACTGTTTTGTTATATTTAATTAACATTTCATGTTGCTGGACTCTTTCCATTTATCTTCGTTTCTTCCTTGAAATGGTAAACGGTTCATGAGGAGCCATACCTAGACAAGTTATCCATCATTCATTTCATTATTGCTCCGATCACTTTGTTGCACAAAATGAGATCTCTTCTTTTCAGCGAATTGTCGGATTGTGCAAGCGCAATCAACCGCGATGATCTGAATCTTGCCGAATCAATTTTCAAGAAAATCCAATCTGAAATTGCTGCAGATACCAACAGAGCAGCAGGCAAAGTTTTCAAGTACTTTGCTGAAGCTCTTGTTCGACGGCTATATAATTTATACCCCCGAAATTCAATGCCATTAGTACCTTCTGCAGCTTCTGCTGAGTTCTATGACTATGTATTTCATCCTTTCTTTTGGTTTGCTTTACTCACCTCCCACCAAGCCATGGTCAACGCCTTCGTTGGAAGAAATCAAGTCCATGTTATTGACTTCTCATTTACCACCAGCAGCTGGCGGTGGTATACTTTGATGAAAGAACTTGCAAAGCAGGCAGGTGGACGGCTAATATCTTTCCGGTTGACATGTATCGGACCAAAACTGTCCGAAAACTTAGATCATCTCCAAGTAATGAGAGAGAAACTAACCACAGAAGGAAGGAAGATTGGAATCGATTTCGAGTTGAGAAAAATGGTGGCTAATACCGCTGGGGGGATCATTAAATCGATACACAAAGTAAGAAGAAGAAGTGAGAATGAGGCGATTGTTGTGAACTGGGAGTATCAGCTCCACAAGTTGCTTGCAGTTCCAGACGCGGTGGAGCAAGTTTTGTCAAAAGTAAAGGGTCTGAAGCCAGAGCTCATGATAGTTGTTGAACAGGAAGCGAACCATAATTCCCCAGATTTGTTGGACCGTTTTACCAACTTAATCCAATACTACCCAAGGGTCTTTGACTCAATAGAGGAGGTAATTTTCGAAGAAGATAATGATTTCAAGTTTGTATGGGAGATGTATTTTAGGAGGCAGATTAGTAATGTTTTGGCACAAGAGGGTATTGGCGTTGTCGAGCGACAGGAGACATTGATTCAATGGCAAGACCGATTCCGTCAGGCCGGGTTTCTTCCCATTCGCTTATCGATCAAAGGCGTTAAAGGCAAGGTTCAGAATTTGACTAGTTACACAATAAGCAGAAAGGATCACGGTGCCATGCTATGTTTGGAAAACCTCCCGCTGGCTGTCGCTTCAGCTTGGAAACCTGATCCAGCGCACTTCGGCAACGGTGAATAATCACATAAATTCCATCTATCTTCCTCTCTCTCTCTGTTTTTTTTTTTTTGGCCAAGAAGTATTTCTTGTGGTGAAAACTTAAACATGCAGGGAGTGACTTTGATCATCTAATTGGGGAGTTAGAGGAGGAGAGCAATCCCGAACCCCATGACGAGCAATCGGAAGATCAAACTATGTTGGGGAATGGGAATCCGTGGTCTCCCGAGGTAACATTCTATTGATATGGCTTAAGATATGTCTTCCATTAATTCCTTCATTCCCCTACTGTTATTTTCCACAAAAATTGATGATATTCAAGCTTTAAAATTATTAAAAAGTAATGTATATTAATGTAATTATTGCAGTGCTTCACAATTAATCAAATAGCTTCTGCAGCTGAGATATTTGACATCTTGGAATATGTATGTCATGTACATAAGTTACCTCTGGCTCTTACATGGCTTCCAGAAGGCAGAGACGCAAATTCAAACAGAACAAATAAATTACGCATTGAGAATACTGCTTGCTATGTGAATGATTTAGAAATGAAGGAATTTGTGGAAGCATGTGCAGAAGTTCATCTTGAGGAAGGGCAAGGTGTTGTTGGAAAAGCACTTCTATCAAATAAGCACTTTGTCTCCGATGTTTCCAAGCTCGATGCAGTTGATTATCCATTTGCTCAGAAGGCAGTAGAGTTTGGCCTTCATAGTGCTTTTGCAATCAAGATAGAAAGCAGCTACACCAACAATGATGGTTACATTTTAGAATTTTTTCTCCCCCAGAAAATGCGAACAAGCTCAGAACAGGAAAGGTTGATACATGAAATCTCATGTACCATGCAACAGAGTTGCAGGAATTTGAGAATAGTTTCAGACAATAGTGGCTTCCACATTAGTAATATTCAGAACTCTAGGGTGCCTTACAGCATCACGCCAGCAGCTTTCCCTTCCATCTCTTCTTCAGGATTACCGTCAATTAGTAGTTTAAATTCGAGTCAAAGGAGGGAATTATCAAGTCAAATGAGGGAATTAGGTCGTATTTTGAATCAGACAGATGATGAAGAGGACATGCCTGAAGCTAATAACCAGGTGCTCTTCTTAACAAATAGTCTTTTTTTTTAATGTCTCAAAATGTATGTTTTCTATTAAAAAAAAATCATAAAATTGAATACCTAATTTTAATACTTCATTTCTTCTTAAAAATTGAATCCACGTTTTTTTTTTAATTCAACTACATTTAATTTTAAAAGACAATTTAGTAGATGTACAACTAAAAATATGTGAATTTACATAGTATTTTTTGCTTTTTTTTTTTTTGATCTTTATGAAAAATTTAATAAAAATCTCTTTATTGACGGAGAAAGTATTTTAACGATTTTGATTTAAGAAACACGAAAGGATTCGTATGAATCCTGTGTCTTACTACTTGGCTACGCCTTAACAGGAAGTCGAAGAACAACATTCCTCATTCGAACCAGTACCCTTGACCGACAACATGTTGGTGAACACAGATGATTCTGCTCAGACAAGAGGTGCTAAAAAACGGGCGAGGACATCCGAGGTGTGGAATTACTTTGATGAGATAAGAGTAAACGGAGAAGTATGGGCCATATGCAAAGGTTGTAATGCCAGATTTCGAGGGGAAAGCACGAGGGGAACTACAAGTCTACGTAGACATCAAAATAGTTGTCCAGCAAGGAGATGAGAAATTGATGCTGGACTCACAAATGGCCATCAAAGATCTTTTTAGCAATTTTGTGCTTGATATGGACTTACAAATGACCACCTATCTTAATTATTAGTCTTAATAGTATTTGGTTTTTGTGGTTTTCATTTGGTTCAATGTGTTTGTTTACTTTTTTTTTGGCCTGGAAGAAAACAACTTGCTTGCTGAGGGAAAGAACAGTAGGAATTTTTACTTGACAGGGTTCACTCTTAAGTTTGAAGATCCGGCAACCAATTGGCATAGGATATAAATTGTACTGAGAACTAAGCATATATTTTGATAATTAACAAACAGAACAGAGTATGCATAGATAACCAATAGAAAAATGAAATTACAGTACAGTTAGCTTTATTGTTTTTCTCAGATTATAGAGTCAGATTCTGTAAATGTTATTGCTTGTATGAATAAATCTTTTTCTAATAGACTATAGAAGTTTTGGAGTTATTTTAATATCATTTTAAACCTAATATTGTGTTTAAAATCAATTTTTTTCTGTCGTATTCTTTCTTAAATGAACTTTATAACATATTCTTTAACAAAGTGTAGTATTTATAGGCCCAAAGCCTAGATGAATTTATTAAATTTTTTTCGGAATACACTGAATCAATATGTAATATGTGTCTTTAAGATCACTTGAAAAAAAACTTAGTCTCGATCCATGCACATAGTGATTCGAAAATTACTCTTATCATTATATATATATATATATATATATATATATGACGAAGCTTCAGGGTCAATAGAATTACTAGGATCAAAAGTCATTTTCTATTGATTAAAAATATGCATCATATGGTGATCTTAGGAACACTCTTCATTAATATATATATATATATATATATATATATATATATATATATATATATATATATATATATATAGACAAAAGCCTCTGGGGTCAATTGAATTACTAGGATCAAAAATCATTTTCTATTGATTAAAAATATGCATCATATAGTGATCTTAGGAACACCCTTCATTAATTTGATTACTCTATATTCTGTGAAGCATGATTGCATATCATTCAAAAATAGAAATATAAAACTTGTTTTTCCATTTCTAGAGAAACCTAGAGCTAGGAATCTTAACATCATCAAAGCATGTTCCATTTACAGCTTTGAATTGAATGCTATGATTGTTGGAAAACAACAATATTTAATATATTTAAGGCATGATATTTCTCTACAAAAAATCCAACAACAATTGCAAAATGAATTTCTGTATATATATATATATATATATATATATATATCAGTACTAATTGATTTATGCTCAACTCTGGACAATAAGTTCTTGGGCATTTTGGAAGAAAGAAGGCCCAACAAAACTGTACAAGTAATCCTTTACCTGATCCAACAAAGCCTCAACACTAGGCCCAGTGCAATGAATGAAGAGGAGGAATAAGGCTACTATGGACCGGGGATATAGTTGAATTAGGCCCCAAAAAACCAAGATTTTGAAGCAAAATTGGTAACTTGTGGATCAAATAAGAAAAGGTAGAAATCACAACCATCCATTAATTAAATACTGATTTCACTTCCCTCTCCCTCTTGAACGGGAAGCAATTAAGGCTTCCCTTGCATATTGTAGTAAAATTCACGATGGTAATAAAAGTTATTGTTTGATCAATTTATACGTAAATTAAATTTTTATTTTAGATAATTTTTAAAAGAATAATTTTCATATTGATCTGTTATATTTCAAAAAATAATTTTTTAAAAAAATCAAATTCAATAAATAAAAAATGATTAAATTTTTCAGAATTATGCATAGCTCAATCTCGCTAGCAAATCATACCTTCTTTTAATTGAAGGACACATATCAGAAAAATAAAAATTAGAGTATAGTTAATATGATTGTTCTTCTTAGATATTATAGAGTTAGATTTGGAAAATACTATCGTCTGAATTAATAAATCTGAATTAATAAATCTTCTTCTGATAGACTCTTAAAGTTTCAAAGTTATTTTATTATCATTTCAAACCTAATTTTGTGTTTAAAATCAGTTTATTTTTATCATCTTCTACGAAAAAGGAATTCTACCGCACTCTTTAGCTAAATATAGTATTTATAAAACTAACGATTAGAGAAATTTATTAAATTTTTTTGAATAGACCAGATCGACATGAAATATGTTTTTTTAATATCACTCGAAAAAAGACTCATCCATGGATCGTACAAGCTGATTTGAGAATTACTCTTATCATTTAAAAAAAAAAACACAAAGAAAAGAAGAGGAGATATCAGTACTAATTGATTTATGCCCAGCTCTGGGAAATAAGTTCTTGGGCATTTTGGACGGAAGGAGGCCCAACAATTAAAACCAGAATCTGTACAAGTAATGCTATACCTGATCCAACAAAGCCTCGAACATTAGGCCCAATACAATGGATAACGACGAAACAAGTACCTAGAGAAGAATAAGGCTACTATGGACGGGGGATATGGTCGAATTAGGCCCAAAAAGAAATCAAGATTGTGAGGCAAATTTGGTTACTTGCGGATCAATTAAGGAAAAGGTGGAAATCACAACCTTCGATTGACTTGAGTACTGGTTTCACTTCCCTCTTGAACGTGAAGCAATTAAGGTTTCACTTCTGCGTAATGCAGTAAGATTCACGATAGTAACTCTATCGAGAAAAGTTATTATTAGATTAATTTATACATTAATTGAGATTAAATTTTTATTTCAGATAATTTTAAAGAGAATCATTTCCATATTAATCTATTATATTTTGGAAATAAATTTCTTTAAATATTAATCTTAAAAATCAAACACAATCAATAAATAAAATAAAATTTTCTTGACCTTCAAATTTATTTTTCAGAATTATGCATAACTCAATCTTACTACCAAATCATACCTTCTTTTAATTGAAGGACACATATCAAAGGAAATCAATTTATAATGTTATTGTTGTTAGGTTTGTGAGTGAAATTTTCTAGAGAGATTATTTTTTTGAATACTGTAAGTCTAATTTATAATTATAACCAAAGATTTTGTCAAGAAGCTGGACGAGATGCTAAACTATAGCAAATTTAAGATATATATTAAAAAAAATCTTGTGCTCTTTATTTTTAATTGAGTATTTTGGAATCTTTTCTACAAGTCTTTAATATTGGGGCAGTATTGACTTATTGTTCTCAAATATATTTAAGCTCCATGCACGGAAGCTTCCTAAAGAAAGAGCAGAGTCCCTTCCATTTTGAAGGACTCACATCTAGTGTGAATTCAGGTTCTGAATAATTGCAGCTTAGAAGGTTCCCAGCTTTATGACAAAAAGAAAACGGTGGAAATCAGATTTTTTAAAATAGAAAACAAAGTTGGAAAATGAAAACAACGTCCGAATATGTTTGGCTTTTGAGTCAAAAGTTAAAGGTCGTGTATATTAATATAGAGTAAATAGCTCATTATCTTTAATTTGTTTTTATGTTTTTAATTGTATTTATTGAGTTTTTAAATCTCCAATCTATATTTTCAATTAATTTCTCCGATTATGAGTAAATTTTTTTAGTAAAATATTTCTAATTGAAATGAAAAATAATAATAATAATAAAACATGCAAATCATGTGATTTATTTATTTATTATTATTATTATTATTAGCATTTTAGTAAAGAGCATTTTGGTCAAAACATTTGTTTATGATTGAAAAAATTGACTGAGACAACATATTGAAGATTTAAATATTATTTATAAATATCATAGATATAATTAGAAACGTTAGAATCGATTGGAGACTTAGGTTATTATATAAAAACAGATTAAGTTATTTATCAATCTTTATTTTTATTTTTTTCCTTTATTCAACAGTAAAAATTGCTTTGGATTAGTATTTGCATCAATAAAATGCAGTTTTTTTTTAATGATTTACAGAATCTACCCTCAACATCATGATATATTCAGAAAATTTTAATCAATGTTTTCTGATATTGGCTTCAAAATTTGAACTCAAGAGTTAAAAAAGAGAGTAAATTTCCTAAACTACCAAATCAGTTTCTTGAGATTAAATCTTAATGTGCAGACCTAACATAATCTGCTATTGCAGATCTCTCCCACCTAAACTTCAATAAAGGTACCCTCATTTCCTTGTAATTTTCCGGTTGTCTTGTTTCCTTTCACATTGAAGGCTCTTTTCATGAAATCCTTTCTTGCCTCTTTGTATGATTTGTTTTGTGATGGTTTTATAATTACTTCATTTTAATTACAATACAAAAAGGGGTGGAGTTTTTCATTGAAACAGTGGATGTGTGTCCCATCTCTAACCCTTTTCTGTTGACTTCTTGAAGTAAACCAGGAGAGGACATTGATTAAATGATACCATCTATGGGAGCTGATTTCTTGGAAAGAACTTAAACCAGCAACGTATCTACAAAAACAAGGGATCACCGATCAAATTCAAAGCCAGCTTTTTTGAAATGGCCACTCCTCTTCTCAACAAATTGTTGGATTTTGCCAAGGCAATTGAAGTTGGGGACCTGAATCTTGCTGATTCACTCCTCAAGGATATCCTGACGGAGAATGAAGCCAAACTTGTGAAATACTTTGCTGAAGCTCTAGTTCGGCGAGTCTATAAGCTCTATCCTCGAAATCTCAGACCATTAGTGCCTTCCTGCACAGATTTGAGATGCAACATGGATTACCAGTTTTTTCCATTCTTCTGGTTTGCTGAAGTGACCACCCGCAGCTCCATCGTGGATGCCTTGACTGGCAAAAAAAGAGTCCATGTTATTGACTTTTCATTGATGGCAAGTGGCCGGAGGTGGTGCTATTTGCTTGACGATTACCTAAAGCAGTCAAGTGGTGGTGCTATATTCTTCTGTTTAACTAGTATTGGACCGAGGCTGTCCAAAAATGCTGACCATCTCAAAGAGATAGTTGAGAAACTCCCCAGAGAAGCTAGAAAGCTTCCTATTGATTTTGAGGTGAGACATTTTGTGGCTAATAGCCCAGCTGAAATTGTTGACGCTGCTCTCAAACTCAGAAGAACAAGTGAGGATGAGACGATTGTGGTTAGATGGGAATTTGAACTCCACAAATTGCTTGCACAGCCAGTTGCAATTGAGAAAGTGTTGTCAAAACTTAAGGAACTCAAACCGGAGATCATGATAGTTGTCGAACAAGAAGCTAACCTTAACGGTCAGGATTTCTTGGAAAGTTTCAGCAATTCATTCCAATATCACTCCATTGTTTTTGACTCGCTTGACAAGGACAATTTCAAAGACGGCAACCATTGCAAGGTGTTGTGGGAGATGTACTTCAGGAGGCAGATTAGTAACTTGGTGGCAGAAGAAGGCACTGACCAGATTGTGCGACATGAAACATTTTCTCAGTGGCGAGACAGACTATGTCATTCCGGGTTTCATCACGTTCGTTTATGGAACCAGTTTAAGGGAACTTTCTTTGATCACTTGCCTGAATACCATGTAGAAGAAAAGGATCGACATCCTGTGCTATACAGGCATGATGAACCATTGCTTATCACCTCAGCTTGGAAACCTGATCTAACTGAGCTCAATAGTGGTGAATAATCTCATGGGCGCTGCTATGTACAGTCGTTGCATACTGTGGGATCTTTCCGTTTATGCGTGCGACATGCCACGCGTAGACTGATCAGATAGCATAGGCACAACTGCACATAGCATTTCCCTAAACTCATTCCATCTTTAAGTTTATATTGTTATTATATACATTATCATGTAATTTATATGTTGTCATGTATTCTCTAGTTGTGTTGAAATCTTAATTATGCAGAGTCATTGGAAAGTTGGAATCAGGAATCTGCACTGGGCGCTGGAGACACAATACGAGGTGGAAGTTCGAGCAGTCTAATCGAGCCAGGGACGGTGAGCTCTTCTGCATTTCATGAAGACCAACCTGATGATCCTCACATAATGATGGAAGGAAATGTTTGGTCTCCCGAGGTAACAATTCTATATGCCTCGCACTATCTTGTCGACATTGTTGTTGCACTGATTATTTTTATGAAACATTGCTGCTATTCATGTTATAGTGCTTCTCAATCAATCAAATTGCTGTTTCGGCTGAGATATTTGACATGTTGGAATATATATGTCATGTACATTACCTGCCCCTAGCTCTCACATGGATGTCAGATAGGAGACGTATTCTTCGCTTGGAGAATAGTGCTTGCTATCTGAATGACTCTACAATGGCAGAATTTATAGAGGCATGTGGAAAAAACCGTCTTGAGGAAGGGAAAGGTGTAGCTGGAAAAGCACTTCAATCCAACAGTATATGCTTCGTCTCTGACATCTCCAAGCTTGATGTGAAAAATTATCCATTTATTTTCGACGCATGGGAGTTTGGTCTTCGCGGTGTTGTTGCAATCAAGCTAACAAGTAGCTACATGAGTAGTATTGATTATGTATTGGAGTTTTTCCTCCCTCCTGAGATGAAAGAAATTTCAGGACAGCATCTTTTGATAAATAAAATCACATCTATCTTGCAGAAGAACTCTAGGGATTCATGGACAGTATTTACTGAATTAAGTGGGGCTAATGTTAGCTCTGAAGTTAGGATGGAGGAGGTTGGGACAAGTGACATCAGATCGACAGCTATTCGGGACAGCCCACCACCAGCATTATCAGAGATTGGTAGTTTAAATTCAAGTGATATCAGGGAGTTACGCAATATTTTTAAGCCAACAGGTGATGGAATGGAAGTGCCTGAAGCTCATGAGCAGGTACTCAATCTCTTACATTTGTTGTTCCTGCAGACCAGATTGTTTCTTATGTTGTTAACTTCTAAAAAAGGGCTATCTCTTGACAGGAAGTTGCGGAACAAAATTCCACATTTGAACCTGCAGCAGATCTGTGCCCAGACCATGAGATGGTCGACATAGATAGTTCTCGTTTCAATACAGGCATGACAAGCAAACGACGAAGGACATCTGAGGTTTGGCAATACTTTGACGAGATGAGACAAAATGGAGAAGTATGGGCCAAATGCAAAAGTTGTAGTGCAAAATATCGAGGGGAAAGCACGAGGGGAACTACAAATCTGCGCAAACACCTAAAATCATGTTCAGGCAAGAAATAACAAGGCGGAAGCAGAACTATCATTCGCCATAAAAACCTGACAAGTCCATATATTTTAAGAAACTTCGTTTGTTTTCTACTTCTGACTTTGTATTGAAGTTGTGGTTAATAGATTCTGTGAATCTTCCTCAAGAAATGAAGTCATTGCAATATGTAGCAGGTTCTGCTGCTAGTGAAGTACTGAGGTTCCTGATAGTGAGGTTCCCTTTCCAATTTTGGTTAACTCTGCTTTGACTTCTTACCCTTTCCATTGTGTTTGTCAGAACTCCCCTGTGCCACTTTGATCCCTATCATGCCAACATTTTCTCACCGATAAATTTGACTAAGAAATCATTTAGGAAACAGAAATTCAGGATTACTAGCTTAAGACAACTTAGGATCACAGAGGTCATGAAAGTTTCGCAGAACATATAATGTAAGAGACTTATTTTATTGATAACCACTACAGCATAGGATTACAAAGGTAATGAAAGTTTCACACAGCATATAATGTAAGAGACTCGTTTTATCGATAACTACTGCAGCATAGGATTACAAAGGTAGTGAAAGTTTCACACAACATATAATGTAAGAGACTCTGATCACACTAAATTTCAACAGAGAACTGCGTTTCCGAATACCAAAACAAGCGCCTAGAGGCAATTGCAGATCGCAATAGTGATCAAGGACATGATATAGACAGCCCATATAGCACACTTGACACTCAGAGGAAAAGGAATTGCTACGGAAAAGAAAAACGTTGCAGCCGCAAGGAAGGATGCAACATTCTCCAGCACTTTGGATGCAGCTGGAAGCTTTTTGCCAATAAACTGTGAAATGAACAAACAAGTGAAAATAGCTAGAATAGCTAAGGATAGAAAATGGATGGAAGCACAGAGTTCAGATTCAACAGCTTGTTTATATTGAATTGTGATCTGAGCAGCTGCTGTGAAGCACAAATTCAAGAGTGTCTTCGGCATATCCATTTCCAAGTCCTGCTCCGCGTCAACAACATTGTTTTGCGGTGGCTGGTCGATGGAGGGAGGCGATGGTTCCTGCACTCCTGACTGTGGTTCGTTGATATTGCAGATCGCAATGACGATCAAGGACATGATATAGACAGCCGATAGAGCACACTTGACACGCATGGGGAAAGGAATTGCTACGGCAAAGAAAAACGTTGCAGCCGCAAGGAAGGATGCAACATTCTCCAACACTTTGGATGCGGCAGGAAGCTTTTTGCCAATAAACTGTGAGATGAACAAACAAGTGAAAATAGCTAGAATAGCTAAGGATAGAAAATGGATGGAAGCACAGAGTTCAGATTCAACAGCTTGTTTATATTGAATTGTGATTTGAACTGCTGCTGTGAAACACAAATTCAAGAGTGTCTTCGGCATTTCCTTTTCCCATTCCTGCTTCACGGCAACAACAACATTTTTCTGCGGTTCCTGCACCCCTGATGGTGATTGTGGAGAAGGTGGAGGTTGTGTTTGTGTTGATTGTGATTCTGGGACGGTATCGGATGAAGAAGGTTGTGGCTGTGTTTGTGGGGATTGCGTTTCCGGGTTGATGTTTGGAGAAGAAGCTGGTGATGTTATTGGCAACTGTGATTTTGTTGGATGCCAGAGTTGGGACAAAGTTGCTGCAACCCAAAGAAAAAATTTCTTGACGAAGGCTGGTGCTGAAATTGCCATGGTAGTCCTATATGGAATGATAAAGCTTTGAGGGATGGGAGAACTTTTGAATTTTGCTTCTATATATATAGAGGGAGAAGATGTCCGATTGGAATCGGGCAGTAGGGACCACATGCCCGATTAAGGTGATAACTCTTAGAGAAAGCAAACGGTAGCAATGGGGCCTTAGTCTATTTGACTGCAAACGGCAGATTAGTTGAGAGTTTTCCTCACACCTTAGTCTATTTTGTTTCTTATTTTTATTTGTATTTTCATTTTTATTTTATTTTGGAATTTATTATAAAAAAGAGTAAAAAGAATATAAAATACAAAAAAAAAAAATTAAAATACAAGATATCAAAACAAATAAAAATAATTGCAATAGGAGCATAATTGAATTAAACGGAATTAAAATTGAGGCAATTGGAGATACAATTGAAACGATTAGAAATCCTAAGATTGAAATAACAAGACTTAGGACCCAATTGCAAAAATCAAAAGTATAAGGATCATAATGATACATCCGAATGATATAATTGAAACAAAACTTAACACATAAGGACCTAAATCAAGCTAAGATACAAACAACGGGATCAATTCGGATAACTTGAATGAGTTGTCATCCAAGCTTCTTCAACAAGACTTCGACACGACAGCTCCCGCATCCCACCACCCTTTAGCTTTGTTCATCTTCATTCGTGAAGACAACATGTCAAAAGGGAAAACAATGCTAGCTCTTCGTTGTAGTGTAATTCTCATTAAGGAATTATAGGGTACCTCCCCTTTTGTCATGCTACACCCGCACCCAAAGCACATACAAAACACACACTATACAACATTAACATAAGTTTTGGCACCGTTCATACAGAGCCAAAATAGACGAGTAGGCAAAGAAATTTGTTGGGTCATAAAGGAGGTTGGAATTGATCTTAAGTGTGAGGAAAACTCTCAAGTATAAATAAAGATCCCCTAAAGTTTAGGAGAAACTTACATTAGTCCCTCGTATAATATTTTTTTGCATCTAACTCTAACAAGTCCAGATTGTGTGATCACACATGTAGTCTCTCTATCCAATCATATGTGAGTATGTAGATACAATTTATAAAGAACACTAGTCGATTCTCAAACTACATTGCGGATCCAACATAACAAAATAATTTCAGTTTGATAATTTACGCTATATTACCGATCTATCAAAACATATTTATATATATAATACTAACATTTATAATCAAAATCTTAGATTTAATTAAACTTTCTAATTTTTTTCATAATTTTTCCTCTCTCCTCCCATCTCTTCTTTTATTTTCTCTCATCTTAGCATATAAGGACCAAAATGCAATAAAAATAAAATTCAAAATAAAAAATTCAAAAAAAGGGACCAAAGTGGAATTATTTAGCTAAACAACCAAAATGCACAGTTCAAATGTATGAGATGGTCTACAATAAAAGCTAGAATATTTATTCGTTTTCTTTTAGAGTATTAACTAGTTTTTTTGCCCACGCTACGTTGCGGGTTAAATAAAATATATAAAATCATTTAGAAGTTATCTAAATTTATTTTTCAAAAGAAAAAATAATCATGTTCTAAAAATTTATTCCAAAATCCATACATATACAAAAATAAATCAAAACTGTCAAGTAAATATAAATAATAAATTTTAAAATTAAATGAGAATTTAAAAAAATAACAAATTAAAGTAGTAAATTTTAAATAATAAAAATAATTAACAAAAAAACTAAAATAAAATAGGACACCCAAGGTTGATGAACGAGTGATTGCGTTTTTTTATAAAACAAATTAACAAAAAATACTATAAAAAAGCAAAGAAAAATTAATTTTTCAAAATTTTAACACCCAATTAAGTAAAAAAGAATATAAATTGATGAAAAAAAAGTAAAGAGAAAAAAAACCAAAGAAAAAAAAAGAAGTATGTGTAGTGCATGAGTTAAGGGATTAAAATATTTATTTTAAATTTTAAGGGACCAAAATGAAATAACTTGAAAAAAAATAAAATAAACTACAGTAATAAATAGTATTTGTCACTATTCATTACTGTTCAAATGATCGTTTTACTTTAGTTATATAGTAATTAATATTACCATGAACTGAAAAAATTGTGGCAAAAGGACTAATATGTCCAAAAGAAGGAAAGGGAAAAAAAGTGTGGACCGAAAGTAATTGGACTTAGATGTATTTTTATCTTAAGATGACGAAATTATCTACCATCTTAGATCACAAAATTATTTAAACTAAGGGTCTGTTTAGCATGATTTTTGAATTATGAATCTTAATTTTGGGCTATAAATCTAAAATTATTTTTCGTAAGTATTTAAACCAAAAAAAAAGTTAAAATAAATTCAAGTCGTAAGTATGTTTGATAAAAATAATCAAAAATAATTTTTTTAAGAAAGAAGGTCATGGAAATTATGCGTTAAAGGTTACTAATTTCAATTTTTGATTAAATCAAAATTTTGACCAAACATATATATGATTTTTTTCAAGTAAAAAATTTAGAAACAGATGCATATTTTAGATATACTATAAGTTTTTTATTTATAAATATTTGATAATTTAAAATATTTAATTATTAATACAATAATTAATAATTTGAATCGCATATAGTTATGTGATTAGTGCTATTTAATTGACACAAGTGAATTGAACCTGATTATAAAATTCAATGGAAAGCTCGCCTTTTGACCATTGTCAATCGGGCATCATTATTTTATTCAATCGGGCATTATTATATTCAATCGGACCTCTTGACAAAAGTACTGATCTTTGCAAGGATCTTTGCAAGGAACCGCGTAGGAAAGTTCCAAAACAAATGTTTATAACAAGTTTGACATAAACTTTGACATATTTGTAACAATTAGACTAATCTTTATTCTTTAAAAAATAAATATAAAGCTTATTTAGTTTCCTTCATTTAAATTTTCATAACTTATTATAAATGTATCATTACATTTCTATTTGATAAACAAATTAATAGATTTAGATTATAACCGAATTCGAATTAAAAAATTATTTATCAATTATATTAAATTCGGATAAGATTTCGATTCATTTACAGCTATAAGTATTATAAGTATTTGGTAAGAATTGAGTGATAGACATTTATTTTGGATAAAACGTATAAAGGGAGTGTGACTTCTTCATGGTACCATGAACTGAAGAAATAGGGGTTGACATGTCTAAAATTGTGGCAAAAGGACTAATATGTCCAAAACAAAAGGGCAAAAAAAGTGGGGACCGAAAGGAAGCGGACTTAAATGCATTTTTATCTTAAGGTGACAAAATTATCTAACGTATTAGATGACAAAATTATCTGAATTAAGGGTCTTTTTAGCATGAATTTTGGATTATGACTTTTGATTTTGAGTTATAAATCAAAAGTTAGTTAAAATGAATTGAAGTAGGAATTATGTCTGATAAAAATAATCAAAAGTAACCTTTTTTTAAGAAAAAAATGTCATAAATTATGAATTAAAAGTTACTAATTTGAACTTTTGATTAAATCAAAATTTTAATATATATATATATAGGTCTCAACAGTTCAAAAATGATACTAAACAAACTTAAATAGATGGGTGTTTTAGATATACCATAAGTTTTTTATTTATGAATCTTATATAATTTTTAATATTTAATTCTTAACCCAATAATTAGTAATTTGAAGGGCATCTAGTTATGTGATTGGTGTTGTGTGTGTATGTGTGTGTTTTTTTTTTTTTATTTACAAGTATTAGAGCTTTTTTTAACCAGTTTTTATATTAATCCGTCCTTTTGTCATGAGCTCTTGAGCAATTTCGTCCCCGGTTGAATCTCACAGGCGTTCTTATCATATAGTAGATCCAAGTCCATGGCCCATTTTGGGTTTACTCCGAGCTTTGGCAAAAGAATTCCCTCCAGAAAATACTAGTGAAGATCCTGTCCCTATCTGTCACCATGGATGATGGTAATCCATGCAATTTGTAGATGTTCTCCAAGAACACCTTAGCTAAAAACAAATTATTTAGTCCGCCACTTTCAAAAACTATTATTTAATTTTTTGATAAGTGTTAATTATGCTTAATTTAATATTATTTTTATTTCATTCAATGCCTTCTTTTTCCTTTTTTTATTTATAGAAACAAAAAATTAAACTAAATTTAAAAGAAATTAATTAATTAATTAATTTCTTGAAACGAGAGGGACTAATTTATAATTTACTCAACATTATGGAGGAATATTTGCTACATCAGGGGAGGAGATAAAGTTTCAATTTATTTATGATTATTAGGGAAAATAAGTAGGGATGACAAAATTTTCCGTTTTTATAAATATGTGACAAAACCGAACTTAATAAGAGTGGGTAGGAAGAGCAATTATTATCATTATTTTATATTTATAGATAGTCAGGACATTCTCATGTTAGTTTTTATATCAATCGAGACTAAATTTATTACATCTTAAGTTAAGTCGGCGTTAAAATACGTATAACCTTTAGTCGATTACTATGCTCTCTCTTAAATGAAAAGATTTCAAACCTAATACTAATAAGAAATAATTATGTTTAGTTATCCGTGAATAGTGTGAATTGAACCTTAGTCTTAGCCAAATAAAGTTAGTAGAGCAAATTTTTTATATATATAAAATAAGAAAATAAGATGGAAACAGAGAATATGCCCATGCCCTATGGAAATTCCAAATCCCATTATATATTCACATATATCATTTTTTATCTTTTGTTTTGAATATTTTTTGAATAATTGATCTTTTAAAATAATTTTTTCATTAAATTTATAAGAGGATCATTTATACTTAACTATATATGAGAATTATAATAAAATTTAACATTTATTTTTCATTAGATATTGATTATCAAATATTTATTATAAATATAAAAATTTATATTTTGTATAGATGGAGAATTTATGATTCCTCTTCAATTTTTATAGGAAAAAATGAAATTCTCCGCACCAAATCTAATTAAAATGGAGTGGAAATGAGAATATATAACCCGTTCCATTGCCATCTTTAAAAAAGTTTAAAAAGTGTGGTTATACACTTATCTTTTTTATAATACGTCAATTTTTCAAAATATCTTTAAATTTTAATTAAAACATCTTCAATCTATCTTTTTTTATTTATATTGGTGTCTAATTTATCATTCTGGTAAAAATATTTTACCAATTCATATGAAATTAATCTTGGTATAAATAGATATAAAGCATTCGTTCTAAAGTTTTTTATTAAATCACATATCATATGTAAATTATATGTTTAATTTAGTCAAATATTTTAACTAAAAGGATATGTTAAAAATAATTTTAAATAGTAAGAATATATTTAATGCGTTTTAAAATTTCGATACATATTGAAAATTTGATTGATTATGTAAACATAGATAATGATATTAAAAAAATATATGTATATTATTAGAATAGGCCAGCGGCACAACCCAATATGCCATCCATGCTACCAGGCCATAAGTACAATAAGTAGTTGGGCTAAAAAGAGACGATCGATATTGTCAGGACCGAAAACATGATCCAAAACAATACTCAAATTGAAAATGTTTAAGTGAAAAATATATATATATATATATATATATAAAACTTGTTTATTTTCCATCATTTAAATTTTCATGACACAATATCAAAATGTTTAAGTGAAAAAAAAAAAACAATTCCGAAATATATTTTAAGTAAATACTTGAATTAGTATTCCATTAGATCTTATTTCTTCTCCAACTACATTAGTAAACTCGATACTAAATATCAAATCATATTTAACCTACACTTAGGTTAATGAATGCTATTTCATTCCCTTGAGGAAGAACCGTTTCATTCCCTTGAGCAACACGATCGACTACTTTGTGGATGGAGGTTTACTTCCCTTTCGCCTATGGTTTGAACGTCTATGAGGACTGGACCAGGTTTTGCTAATGTGCCTGAATACAGGACAAAAGAAAAGAATCTGTGTCCTTTGCTACCTCGGAATCATTTTAAACTTGCTGTTGCCTCAGCTTGGAAAAAAAGGTTGATGCAGCACTAACTAAGAATGGTCAAAAATCCATTTTGTACTTAAAACCTTTTCTTAAGAGGTTATTTCCACCAGCATTGTCTCTTCTTCTCCACTTTGAGCCTCCCTAGAAAGCCTTATAAGGCACTATATATACCATCAATAGACTTCGGCCTTTTCCACTGGCAACCCATGAAAGAAGGCACGTATACACATTTCCAGTCCCAAATCGACGAAAAAGAAAGGAAGTGTCCGATAAGGATGCTTTATAACACACAAACAGAAATAAATACAGATTAAAAAAAAAAAAAAAAACTAAAGTAAAACCATGATTTACTATTTGCTGTACTATTTGAAACACTACTCATGTCAGCATCCAAATCCCACAAAAAAACCCCATATAAACACGAAATCCAACAGAACATATCGAGTCAAGCTACATAAATAAAGCTGTACGACTATTTTCTGTTATTTTTCCTTAATTTGTCTCCCTTATCCAATTTCCAAGCACGTTTCTGATAGATTGGTTTAGCAACACTTGGCCTGTGGCAAAAGGAGGCAAAAGCATAGTTTTAGGGCTAGATAATGCAGGAAGAACCACATTACTTCGCATGCAGAAAGATGATCAGGTTCATTAACTTTTCGATCTTTTCTATGTTTTATTTTTCATTTTTAAATCAAAAGTAGAATTTTTTTTTATATGATTGTTTTGTTTGTAGACATTGGGTCAGCATCAGCCAACAAAGGCACAGCATCCAACATCAGAGGAATTATATATAGGAAAAATCAAGTTTAAATTAAGCATGGCTAGGCTATGCATGCCAAATCATATTACTGATCGAATTGTAGCCAAAATTCTCCCTTGAACGGCAATAGAATTTATCCTGGGAATATTTCACTATAATAAGCAAATTAACTGGATCTAGCAAATTGCAAAAAGCAAAATCCTCTTTTCTTATCTTTCTGGTTTGTCTGTAGAAATACAACCAGCAGATCAGTCTCAAACTCTATTTCACATTGTTTGATTTTGTTCAAGTTGTTCTTGCGTGGTTCTATTAATATATGGAATAATTCATGAATTGGGTTCCAGTGTTTTTCATCAGTGGGCTTGGATTCTAAAGACCTTGCGACCATATATGTATGTATATATGTTCCGTGATGCTCACTGGCTAGCTATTGAATTAGCAGAAGCATTTTTTTGTGCTTCATGACAAGCAATGGCTTTCGACTTTCATGCAGCAAATTGTCTATAGACGATGCTTCAAGAGGCCTGCATATTTCACTTTCATCTTTAAGAGATCTGTTGGCCAAATGATTCTCCAATTTTCCATACAATTGTTAAATTTTGGTTCATTTTTTCAAGATTACCAACTGAAAACAAAGAGCTTCTTTGAGGATTCCTTGAGAAATGAGACCAAGAATTCTTGTGTTTTTTGTTGATGCTTTAATTCAAGTTTGTACCACACCAGCAGTGACTAATAATAACGATAAGTTCTGTACTATTAGTATTTTCCTGTTTTCTTGTTTTGGTAAATCACTTAGAACATGCATGTTGTTTTAGCACTATTTTGATTCAAATTTGCATCAATTCTTTAATGGCTTCATTCATGTCCACCTTTGATGTTTTTTTGCCATGCAATTAACTGTATACTGTAATGTCTTTGAATTGGATTTTCTTATTTACGTCGCAAAGAGCCCACCTTTAGCGTTGTTGCAGCCCCCAAGTGAAGCAGGGAAGATGGGCAACGGCCCAGCCCACAAGCTCAAAATTTAAAAGCCTCTGTCCAGAGGCCCAAAACCCAATAATATTTCGGGTTAACCAAATCTAAATTTGGTTCGATTTCGAATTTTGTTCTTGATTAATTCAATTAATGAAAAACCGAACCAAAATTTATAGAAAACGAACTGAAAAACCATTTGCTCATCCCTGGCGACAAACTCTTCAAAAAGCTGCGCCATTTTTACATGGCTTCTTAGGAAGCTTCTAAGTTTGGTGACACCATAACATTCTAAGAAGGCCCAATAATTAAAGCCAGATCCAACAAAACCTCAACATTAGGCCCATTACCATGGGTAACGAAGAACTAAGCACCACATGTTCGATTAATGTGATAAATCTTAAAGAATGGAAACAGTAGCAATCGGGCATTAGTCCACTAACTTCAACTTCGGGCAAATTACTTGCATGGTCCTCCAAAGTTTAGGAGGTACTAACATTAGTCCCTCTACAATATTTTTCTGCATCTAACTCTAACAATTCCAACTCGTGTGATCATTTCCCCGTCTATCTATCCAATCATAAGTGAGTCTTCAGTAACATGTAAGTGATAGACGTTTAGTTTGGATAAAAATACATAGAGAGAGTGTGACTGTGTAAATGTTATCATGAATTGAAAAACAAAGGGTTGATATGCCCAAAATTGTGACAAAAGGACTAATATGTAAAAAAAAAGGGTGGGGACCGAAAGTAATTGGGTCTTAAATGTATTTTTATTTTAAGGTGACAACATTATCTTATGTTTAGCATGATATTTGGATTATGACTTTTAACTTTGGGTCATAATTTAAAAATTATTTTTATTGGTAAGTAACGCAAAACAAAAATTAGTTAAAATAAATTTGAGTAGCAAGTATATTTGATAAAAATGATTAGAAATAATTTTTTAAAAAAGTAAAAAAATTAAAATTTAGAAATTTCAACTTTTGATTAAATCAAAATTTTAACCAAACACATATATAATTTTTTTAAAGTAAAACATTTAAAAACAACTTAAATCAATTAATTTAAAAAATTTAAATTAATAATTTGAAGGGCATCTATTTATGTGATTAGCGCTATTAAATAGACATAAGAGAATCGAGCCTCATTCTAGAATTCAATGGAAAGGATGGCATTTGACCATTGTCAGTCGGGCATCATTATTATATTCAATTGGGCTTCTTGACGAGAGTGATCTCTGCAAGGAACCACGGAAAGTATTCATATAGATTATTTTTTATCTTTGGTCATGTATTTTTTAAAATAATTAATCTTTTGATATAAAATCTTTATTAGATTTATACTGAACCATATACGAGAATTATAGTAAAATTTAATTAATACTTATTTTGACTTAATATTTACATTTTCATTAGATATTGACTATCAAATATTAATTATAAATATAATAAATTATGTTTTTTTCCTTCTAATTAGGGGAGCATTTCTGAATCCTCTTCAAATCTGATAGGGAAAAATGAAATTCTCCACTTCAAATCTAATTAAAAAGAGTTACTAGATACCCAAAAAAAAAAAAAAAAAAGATATGGACAGAAAGAAGTTGGGCTACAGAGACGATCCATATTTTAGGCCCATTATTGCAACAAGGAGTAGGTCTAAAGCATGATCCAAAACAATACTTCAAACTGTTGCATCGACTCTAATTTTCAGTCTTGTCTAACAATCAGACTAATTTTTATTCTTTAAAATATAAATATATAAAACTTGTTTATCTTCCATATTTAAATTTTCATGACATAATATAAAAAATTTTAGTGAAAAAAAAAAAAAAACAATTCCAAAACATATATTAAATAAATACTCGAATTTGCATTCCATTAGATCTTACTTCTTCTCTATACTAAATATAAATTCATATTTTACCTATAGTTAGGTTGAGGAACACTACTCCAATGCTTTCATTCCCTCGAGGAAGAAACGTTTCAGTTGGACAAAATGACAATGACAGGGCGTTGTTGGATACGTATTTTAGTCAGCAGATCGGTGCATGTTGCGATAGTTCCAAAGGGCATCAACCGGGGCCGATCGCCGAGCGACAATGACTGACTACTTTGTGGAGGTTTTCTTCCCTTTCGGATATGGTTTGAACCTCTAGGAGGGCATGTTTTTGCTATTGTGCCTGAATACAGGATATAAAAAAAAAAAGTGTGCATGTCCTTTGCTACCTCGGAACCATTTTGAACTTCTTGTTGCCTCAGCTTGGAAAAAAGGTTGAGGCAGCACTAACTAAGAATGGTCAAAAATACATTTTGTGCTTAAAAACCTTTCTTGAGAGATTATTTCCACCAGCATTGTCTCTTGTTCGTCACTTCGAGTCTCCCTAGAAAGCCTTATAAGGCCCTATACCATCAATTCCACTGGGACTTATAAATGGTATATCTAAATCTAAGACAATAATGAACAAAAATCAAAGATGATTGGATGTTTCTTTGTATTCTATTGAATTCTTGATTTTTTTTGGTTCAATTAAATGTAAAGTTCTTTAGTTGTCTTTTCAAATATATCGTGAGTTGTTTCTTCAGGTACTATATATATATATATATATATATATATATTCAGGATGTTGTACAACCTCATGACCACGATCTGAATTAAAATTGCCATCATTTTAGTCCGACTAAAGAATTAACACTCTTTGCTGCATTGCTTTGGGATAGGAGAAGTCTATATGATTTATTTATTTATTGAAAAGTGTGTTAACTTTCCATATTACAAGAATGAAATCTTGAGATTTGTTGGAGTAGTCGAGGGATTGATTTTTTTTTTAAAAATAAATATGATTTATTCATTTCCCTACTTTCATGTATTATCTTTTATTAATATTATTAGTTTTTTGTGAGAAATTTTATCTTTTTTCAGAAATAATTAATAATACTTACTCTATTAATGTATAGAAAGATAAATACGAAAAAAAAAAAGAGAGATAGGAAAGAATTTTTTTAAAAAAAAATTTGAGCTTTGATGAAATTTTTTTTTATCACTTTTAGTTATTCCTGATATAATTTTATCTTTATTCTTTGTGTTCGACTCTTTTTAAAATATATTTATGAAATAACTATTGCTAGTTACTATGTTTTAGTATTTTAAATTTTTCGGCTTTTGTGATCTCCAAAACATGGCAATATATTGTAGAGGCAGGCAGGTATAACTGCTTCTGCCAAGGAAAAAAACCGCCTGCATTGAGGTATTTTGATGTGGTAACAATATTCATACATTTTAATTTTTGTCCGTAAAATAGGCTAGATAAACTTCGTTAATTCCTTGTCTTTTACCACTCAAAATTTAACACCCCATCTGTGATCTGATGTCAAATTTCAGAACCCCGTCTTGATTAATGAACCTGGAATAAAAGATTATTCATCTTTGGTCCAGACCTCGTGGCCGAAGCTTTCGTCCTATACACTGCAATAGAGCTTCGGCCTTTTCCACTAGCAACCCAAGAAAGAAGGCACATATACACATTTCCTATCCCAAATTAACTGAAAAAAAATAATAATAATAATAAAAGGAAAGAGCAAACAGTTTCCAACAAGGATGCTTTATACACACACAAACAGAAATACAGGTAGAAACTAAAACTAAAACAAAACCATGAGAGGAAACATGTCTTGCGTTTATTCTAGCTTATTCTGAAGAAGTCATATATATGGTCCATAATTTAGCATTTCCTCATTCAACCTCAACTATCTATCTTGACCATGATCTCCTTGTCAGCTTTTGAAGCTAGTTAAAGTATGGCTTTCTGACCTCCAATTTCCTGATAAGAGACAGCCAAGAAAGATATATAGTTTACTACATAAAGGTTTAATCTGGGCTCAAGAATGTAATAAATTAGTTGTTAAGGAGAGCACCTATTCATCAGTATCTAATGTTTCCACTAAATCACCCACTGGGCTAAGCATGTTCCATCCCGTGATATTATTTGAATTTGAACTATCAACAGTTGAAGTTGATGGAGAGTTGTCAGAATTAGACAACTCTGACGCCTTAACTTGAGAGACAACATCAGCCCCATTCGAATCCATGCCGCAAACTATCCATGAATTCCTACAGTTCTTCTGCAAGGTGGATAAGATTGTTTTCACCAAAAGTTGTTTTTCTGAAATTTCTCGCATTTTTGAAGGAAGAAAAAATTCTAATATGTAATCGACACTGCTCCTGTAAGTGTTTGTTAACTTGATTGCAACAGCAGCATGAAGGCCAAACTCCCATGCTCCATAAACAAATGGATTATCAACTAGATCGAGTTTGGAGACATCGGGGTCAAAATATATGTTTGACAGAAGTGCTTTTCCAGCAACACCTTGCCCTTCCTCAAGATCATATTCTGCACATATCTCCACAAGTTCTGCTGCTCCTAAATCATTGACGTAGCAAGCAGTATCCTCAATGCGTAGAAGCTTTTTTCCCTCAGAATTTTCGTTAGTCTCTCTGCCATCCGATATCCATGTGAGTGCCAAGGGCAACTTATGTACATGACACACTTGTTCCAATATGTCATATATCTCAGCTGAAGCAGCAATCTCGTTGATTGAGGGCCACTGCAAAAACCATAGCAGCAATCTCATTGATTGAGGGGGATTGAAAAAATTATCGCAGTATATAAGAAATAATTTAGAAAAGTTTATGGACAATCGGACTCATTATGTTTGAAAGAAACATCAACTGTTGTCCATAAGATTTGAGGGGATCCTATTAATTTCCCTAGACATAAAGATGAACAAATAGCAAACTAATCTAAAACTTGCAGGCAAATGCAGGATAGGTACCTCTGGAGACCACATATTTCCTTCTCTCATTATAGCAGGATCATCTTCTTCATCACTTTCATTTTGTAGTATGCTAACATCATTAATTTGTAGAGCCGACGACGGGGATTCTAGATAGCCTATGTTCCCCTTGTTGTCTGATCCTGCATGATTAATTAGCATCTCACACAACCAAAAGACACAAATGAATAATGGCTAAACTTAATAAAAATTCTCCGAACTAACATTGTAAAAGATGCATTAATTTGTAGAGAAGGTGTTTGGTATCTTTTTCGGTTTTTTATTTTTCCAATACCAGAATAAATTGTTTCTAATTTTCTGTTTATAGGAAAGAAAGAATGGAATGAGATTATTCACCACCATCAGACTGAGCTAGTTCAGGTTTCCATGCCGAAGTGATAGCTAGTGGGATAGCGTGTCGACGTAGCACGGGACATCCATTCTTTCCTTGATCTATAGTGTATTGAGTCATGTCACTGAAAAGACATCCCCTTAAATGATTGAACCATTGACGAACAGGATGAAATCCCGCACGACACAGCTGATCTCGCCACCAAGCCTGCGTTTCATGTCTCTCAGCATGCTCGATGTCCTCTTGCGCCACCACATTACTGATCTGCCGCCTAAAATACGTCTCCCAAGATATCATGTTTTCGAGAAAACATTCGATAGTATCTTTCTCTATGGAGTCGAATACACTGGAATAGTATGGGAAGGATTCGGCAAGTCGGTCCAAGATATCGGGACTGTTATGTTTGGCTTCCTGTTCCACAATTACCATGATCTCTGGCCTGAGTTCCCTCAGTTTCGACAACACCTGCTCGAGCGCACCAGACACTGTGAGCAGTTTGTTTAGTTCAAACTCCCATTTCACGACTATTGCCTCATCCTCGCTTGTTCTTTTGAGCTTGAGAGTAGATTCAACAATACCAGCTACAGTATTGGCAAATATATGGTCTAATTTGAACTCCGCCAAGCCAAGCGTTTTAGCCTCTGCAGCTAGTACCCGATCCATTTCTTGGAGGTAGTCTACATTGTTTGACAGTTTACATCTGATATTTGTTAATCGAAATGACAGTCCACTTCCCGCCTGCTTCACTAGATCACGCATCAAATCGCGATCCAGCAAACTGAATTCCAGATTAGAGAAGTTGAAAATATGGACATGTTTTTTTCCAAGAACAGTATCAAGGATAGTATCGTGGCTGCTTTTTTCTGTAAACCATACGAAAGGAAGAAATCGCCAGGCCCTGATGTAATATGAATCCGTGGACGGCACTAATGGCGTAGTATTTCGAGGATATAGTTTATAGAGTCGCCGAACTAGAGCTTCGGCATAGAATCTGACAAGTTTTCGCGTTGCTGTGCTGGTATTAGCATCATTTAGACATTTAATCTCCTTGAACATTGAATCTGCAAGATTCAGGTCACCATTTTCAATCGCCTTAGCACAGCCGGACAATTTTTTGAAAAGAAGAGTGGCCATTCTGAGCAACAAAGCAATTACAACTGAATGACCTTGCTGTGGTATATGAGATTTAATCTTCAGAAACAATTTACCATTTTAAGCTGAAAAAATCTGCCCAAAAATGTTATTTTACATCAGTTTCCTTATCCTAATCAGCTGTTAACGAGCTTCCTTGAAATTTCTAAATCAATTAGATATTCAGATGGATAGTTTACTTTAAGAAGCAAACCAAAGAAGACCAAGACCTAAAATGTATTAGGTAGCTAATCAATTTCTTTCAGTCTTCAAAGAAAAATAAAAACAAATTGTTAGGTGATGGCAATTGCATTATCTTAGCATTCCTAGCAAATGGTAAAAAAGAAGGATTCAGGATTGATGTAACATTTAGTGGGAAGAGGCTCTCTGACCTGTTCTACAGAATAAAATAGGGAAATTGCACTGATTCTTCTTCATAGAAATTTTTTATTCTGTTAAAGGATAGAAAATTATCTTTTCTTTCCAAAAAGAAAACGGAAGGCCATTAAGCTTGATTCTACCAACTCTTCTGCAAAATTGTATGAGCTATTGCGCTGATTCAATAGAAACAGATTGAAAAATAATCAAACATTTTGTAAATTACTAAGTGAAACAGAAGTCATGCTATAACAGTGATGGATGTAAATATAAATGGTTTAATTGCATGAAACGTCCATCTATATATATATTTTTATTTTCCTAATATGACTTCTATATTTTTTTTTTTTGCCATTACCTCTTTCTATTCTTGAATTTTTCTTTATAAAAAAATACGAATTCAAATATAAGGATTGTAAAATTCAAGAGCAGAGGAGGAGTTAAAAAATAAATACAAAAGACACATTAAAAAAAAAGATTTTATATTATTAATCCAAATATGAATTGATATTTAATTTAGAGTTTACTACTTTCGTTGGAGATGAAGTAAGATCTAACAAAATACGAATTCAAATATTTATTAAATATATGTTATTGGATTTTTATTTATTTAATTTTTTACATTGAAACATGATTATACTATGTCAAGAAAATTTAAATAATGGAAAATAAACAAGTTATATATATTTATTTTTTCACATTTTATTGCATTCGAACTTTTATATTCTAAGAAATGAAGATTAGTCTAATTATTATAAAAATGTCAAAATTTAAGCTAAGTTTGTTTGTAGCCTTATAGGCTTATTAGCCAATTTAAATGATTCGAGTTCGAAATGAGCCTGCGCCGAGCCTAAACCTAACAGATTTTAAATTAGTCGAGGTGGAGCCCCATAATTCAATCTCGTCATAAACGCAAGCCGAGCTTGAGCCTTGTTAACGTTGTGCAAGTCGAGCTTGAACACATCGAACAGTCGCTTGGCTCGACTCGGCTGAGTTGTAGCCTTATATACAAGGGCTCATAGGAACAAGTCTGGTGTTCGAATGCCGTGAGGGCTCATGACATTGAATGGGTGAGAGGAGACAATCATTTTTTAAAAAAAAAAAAAAAACTGAAAATTAGAGTGCATGCAACAATTTGGGTATTGTTTTGGATCATGTTTGTAGGTCTACTCCTTGTTGCAATTATGGGCCTAACAATATGGATGGTCTATTTAGCCCAACTTCTTAGTGTACCTATGGCCTGGTAGCATCGATCGCATATTGGGTTGTGCTGCTGGCCTATTCTTTCTGTCCATATCACCTTCTTTTGTTTTTTTGGGTACTTTAGTACTTTTCTTCAAAAATGACAACGAAACGGGTTATCCTTCTCTATTTCTGATCCATATTAATTAGGTTTGGAATGGGAGAAATTTTCTTTTCACAATTAGATTTGAGACGAGTTCAAAGATTCTCTATTAATAATATATATATAATTTGTTATACTTACAATTAATGCTTGATAGTTAATATTTGATAATTAATATCTAATGAAAATAAATAAATATTGGATTTTATTATAATTCTCATAAATAGTTAAATATAAATTATCAAAATATAAATCCAACATCAAATTTATTTTAAAAGATCAATTATTTAAGAAATATGCATAATTAAAGATAAAAAATAATATAGATTAAATTTGATTTGTATTTCCATCCATTTATTTATCAGAAAAAAATATCCATCTCCATTCTGATCAAATCGAGTTTTATCAAATATCTGTGGAGATGGATAATTTTACACTTCCTACTTGCTTTCTCCAAAAATAAATTGAATCGTCATCTTCTGCTCTCGGATGCAACATATATTCATCTATTCCTCCATAATATATCTCATCTGATTAGGAAGGAAAAAAAAATCCAAGCTGTGCTTTGAATATTCTAGTGCAAGAACACGAATAAATAAATGGAAACTATCTCCTTGATTTGGAACTTCCCTGCGTTGTTTCTTGCAAGGTCACTCTTGTCAAGAGGTCCGATTGAATATAATAATGATGTCCGGTCCGATTGAATAGAATAATGATGTCCGATTCTCGATGAGACGATGCTTAAAAAGCATGCTTTCCATTGAATTTTATAATGAGGTCCGATTCACTTGTGTCAATTTAATAGCACTAATCACAAAACTAGATGCCTTCCAATTATTAATTATTCATAAAAGAATATCAAAAAAATAAAAATCAATAATAAATTAAAATTATCGTTAAATAGAGTCGGATTAGCAACAAATTATAACTATTTACGTCATGTGCATTTCAATGACAGATTTTCAACGACCTATTTAATCCATTGCTATTGATAATTTTGTTTTAGTGATTGTATTAAGAATTAAATGTTATAAGTCATAAATATATTTGGTTTGAAATGACTTTAAATTTAAATAAAAAAATTATTAGAAAATTTAGTTAAATTTTGGATTTAATTAAAATTTAAAATTTTTATCTTATGGATTATAACTTATACTATATTTTAAAAAAAAATTACCAAACATACTTCGTACTTCAATTCATTTTAACTCATATTTGTTTTAAATTACTTATGAAAAACAAACTTTTGAATTATGACTCAAATTCAAAAGTTATGCTAAACGGACCCTTCATTTAGATAATTTTGTCACCTTAAGATAAAAATATAATTAAGTCCAATTACATTAGGTCCACTTTTTCGTCACCCTTAATTTTGTCACCTTAAAATAAAAATAAATTTAAGTCCAATTACTTTCGATCCCCACTTTTTTTTCTTAATTTTTTGTCACCCTCCATATAATGTATCCAAATCAAATAATCATCATCACACGCTACTGCGTACTCACACATAATTGGATACGAGGGACGACGTGATCACGCGGGTTGGAAGTATTAGTACAGTTAAATGCACAAATATATTACAGAGGGACTAATGTTGGTACCTCCTAAACTTTGGAGGACCATGCAACTAATTTGCCCCAATTTGAAGTCAATAGACTAATGTCCTAAGGCTCCTGCTTCCATTCTCTAAGATTTATCACATTAATCAGACATCTGATCCCTATTATCCGATTCCAATCGGACATCATATGTCCGAATGAATGGTCAAACTTCCTTCCTCTCTATACATACGTAAATATATAGAAGCAAAATTCAAAAGTTTTCCCATGCCTCTATCAATCAATTCCTGACTTGTCTTTGCAAGCTCTAGCATTCTATACAGGACTACCATGGCAATTTCAGGACCAGCCTTCGTCAAGGAATTTCTTCTTTCGGTTTTAGCAACTTTCTCCCAACTCTGGAACCGAACAACATCACAGCTGCCATCAAAATTGGCAGCTTCTTCTCCCAGCATCGACCTGGAATCGCAATCACCACAAACACAGCCACAACCTTCTTCTTCTAATAACATCCCAGAATCACAATCAACACAGACACAATCTCCACCTTCTCCACAATCACCATCAGGAGTGCAGGAACCGGAGCGAAACAATGTTGTTGACGCAAAGAAGGACTTGGAAATGGAATTGCCGAAGACGCTCTTGAATTTGTGCTTCGCAGGAGCAGTTCAAATTACAATTCAATACCAACAAGTTGCTGAATCTGAACTCCGTCATTCCATCCATTTGCTTTCCTTAGCTATTCTAGCTATTTTTGTTTCTTTGTTCATTTCACAGTTTATAAGCAAAAAGCTTCCTAGTGCATCCAAAGTATTGGAGAAAGTTGCGTTCTTCCTTGCGGCCGCTACGTTTTTCTTTGCCATAGCAATTCCGTTTCCCATGCGTGTCAAGTGTGCTATATGGGCTGTCTATATCATGTCCGTGATCACTATTGCAATCTGCAATTGCATTTAGGCTCTTGTTTTGGTATTCGGAAACGCAATCCTCTGTTGAAATTTAGTGTGATCAGAGTATGTTATCTTGTATGTTCAGCGAAACTGTCAGAACTTCCGTGATCCTAAGTTGTATTGGTTATCAATAAAACAAGAACATATGTAAAATTATAAGCTAGCAATCTTGATTTTCTGTTTCCTAAATGATTCATTGGTCAAATTTATCGATGAGAAACTGTTGGTGTGATAGGGATCAAAGTGGCACAGGGGAGTTTTGGCAAACACAATTGAAGGGGTTAAAAAATCAAAGCAGAATTAACCAATATTGGAAAGGGAATTTCACTATCAGGAAATCTCAGTACTTCACTAGTAGCAGAACGTGCTACATATTGCAATGACTTCATTTGTTGAGGGACATTCAATAGAAATTATCAAACACAACTTCAATATAAAGTTGAAAGTAGAAAACGAACTAAGTTTCTTAAAATATATGGACATGTCAGGTTTTTTAAGGCAAATGATAGTTCTGCTTTAGCCTTCTTATTTCTTTCCTGGACATGATCTTAGGTTTTTGCGCAGATTTGTAGTTCCCCTTGTGCTTTTCCCTCGATATGTTGCAGTACAATTTTTGCATTTGGCCCATACTTCTCCATTTTGTCTAACCTCGTCAAAGGATTGCCAAACCTCAGATGTCCTTCGTCGTTTGCTTGTCGTGCCTGTATTGAAATGAGAACGGTCTATGTCAACCATCTCATGGTGTGGGCCGAGACCAGCTGCAGGTCCAAATGTGGAATTTTGTTCGCCTACTTCCTGTCAAGAGATAGCCGAGTTGTAAGATGATTAATGTCTGCATAAAAATTCACATTTCTTTACCAAACAAAACAGCAAAACTAAATAGGTAAAGAGTCCAGCAACAAAATTCTGGACTTGACACAAGTATTGCTTGAAGGGTGCAACTCATTTATTGCTAGGAATACAGTTAAAAAAAAGCACCTGTTCATGATGCAGAGGCCCATCGGCTATAATTCCATGCCATGATCCTATCATTTGTATTCAAACTGCCAATGTCTGATATTGTCGGTACCGGTGGAGAGCTCCCAGAAGAATCAGCTGGTGCCTCGTTAGATGTACCCACCTCCTCTGTCCCAACTTCAAATCCAATGTGATGCCCCTCAAGTTCTCACCACAAATTTCCCATGATTTCCTACAGTTATTTTTCAAGATTGATAGGACTCCATTTATCAAATGTTTTTGTTCTGCAATTTCTCTCTCCATTGGAGGGAGAAAAATTTCCAATGCGTAATCAACACTGCTCATGTACGTGTTTGCTAGCTTGATTGCAACTACAGCGTGAAGGCCAAACTCCCACACATTACAAAGAAATGGATAATCTTCTACTTTAAGCTTGGAAACATCCGAATCGAAGTACATACTATTTGATAGAAGTGCTTTTCCAGCAAGTGTTTTTCCAGCAACACCTTGTCCACCCTCGAGATGTTTTTCTTCGCATGCCTCCACAAATGTTTTCATTGTGAAGTCGTTCATATAGCATGCTGTGTTCTCAATGTGAAGAACATGTTTTCCATTTGAATTTTTATTACCCTCTCTCCTATCTGGTATCCGTGTGAGAGCTAGGGGCAAATGATAGACATGACATATATATTCCAACATGTCAAATATCTCAGCTGAAGCAGCAATTTGATTAATTTGGAAGCACTGCAACAAAAACAACAGTAATGTCTCATACAATTAATCAAATTGATAATATTTAGCTATGTGCATATTTAGCTTAATTTGTTATATATATATATTTGACTAACCACTTTTCGGCTAAACCATCTCCAGAATATGCTTAACTTTTGGTTGACCACTGGATTGCCTATGAAGCCAAACCAGCCCAAGTCTATTAAACTTCGAAGATATTTCTCTCAACTTTTGGAGTTAACTCGTGTTTATCTTAAAGTTTTGTGTTTTCTATGGTACTTTATAATCAATTAGCATGTTTCTTTTTTGAATTTTCAGTCAATTTGGGACGTCTATATGTGCTTTCTTTCTTGGGTTGTCAGTGGAAATGGCCAAAGCTCGTTTGAAGTGTATAGGACCATAGCTTTGGTCACGAGGTCTCGACCTTAGATAAATAATTTGTTTGGGGGTTGAAATCTTTTCGACCTTGAAGATTAATTGTAGGAAAGTGTGGAGAGTCTGTGACGAACAAGATTGGCTCTGACTCTGAAGGTAGTACTGATGATCAGGATCCAAGGATGCCTAACTTCACACCAGCGGCCATGTCTAGCAACTCTTCTTTTGAATTACCATCACTTGATAGTGTAACCTCAAGTCAAATGAGGGGATTACGTGCTATTTTGAATGAGGCAGATGATGGAGAGGACCAGGTATGTTCCTCTGAACAGTATCTTTGTCATATTTTCTTTTCCTATTATTGCAGCTTAGATATTTCTTGAAGTAGCCAATTATCTTACTATCTACTGGCTTCAGGAAGTCGAACAAGAGAATCCCACATTTGAACTTAGTCCATACATCGTTGACAAGGTGGTCAGCATGGATAGCTCTCAAAGGACACAGGCTACTAGTAATAAATGACGAAGGACATCTGAGGTGTGGAATTTCTTCGATGAGACAAGAGAAAATGAAAAGGTACTGGCCAGATGTAAATGTTGTGGAAGAGAATATCAAGGAGAAAGCACACGGGGAACAACAAATCTATGGAAATACAGAAGAACTTGTTTCGGACAAAGATAAGAAGGTTGAAGCAAAAATTAAGTATAGCTGCGTAGTTTTATATATATATATATATATATATATATTACAAATAGTTGGGTATCTTCTGACTATTCTTTATATCAATCAAGACTAAGTCTTTATTTTCTGAACTAGATCAGCATCGAATCACACCTAATCTTGGTTCAATTTTCATGTTTAGTATCACACAAAAGAGAGTGAGGACTCCTGACTTGGTGAGTACTTAAAAGCACTCTTCTTATAACTTTAAGTGGAAATTAAAGTATAGTTGCAGAGTTATGTATATGAAACACATTCCTTCCAGTGTTAAAGTTGACTGGTCTCATGTCGGGTCCGATGAATTGGTGGAAATTCAAGCGGCCATCTCTGGGTCAGTTTATCCTAATAAGTGAAGGAAGGGTTGCTTAGGAAACTCTCATGAACAGAAGCAATAGAGTTGATTGGTTCAAAATCCTATGGAGTTCCTCTTTCATTCCTCAACACGGTTTTACAGCCTGGTTTGTCATTCCAGATAAGGTGTCCACGAGGATACATAGATCAGAAGAGGAAGAATCATTGATCGTACTTGTCTTCTCAACAAGGAAGCGAAAGTAGAGATCACATTTCCTTGATTACCATTTTGTAAAAGAAATGTGAACTGAGGTTTTGAAAAAATGTAATATCTATAAGCAAGTTGGAGGATGGGATCAAGAATTTGCCTGGGCTAAACAGAACTTGCAGGCGAAAACTTTGGTTTCTTGGATTCCAAGAATCACTTGGTGTGCCTGTCTTTACTTTTCATGGATGGAAGAAATGATGGACTGCCTAGTAATCAGTGGTCTTCTCCAAGTTCAGTCTTTTGTCTTTTCTCTTAGAAAGAGATTTCATTGTTCTTTCTTATGTAGAGTTGCTGTTAGACTGTCTCTTTTATTTAAGATTTGCTGTGACTGGGGTCTGATTTGATTCAACATGTTCTTAAATACTTCGATTCTCCCTAGAAAGCCCAAAAGGGCCCAATACCATCACTATTGAAAAACTATCATGGGTTAAGAAAAAACAATCATTCATGAAAGGATTAATAGAATGATTGGCTCTTATATTTTTTATATTTTTTAATATAAATCTTTTTATTTTATTTTTTTATTGGGTTTTTTTTCTTACTTTCTAAATTTTTTTAATGTGGTTTCTTTGATGAAATTTTGTAGGATTTTTGGACAAAAGTAACAGTTGAACTGATATATTAAATAAAATTGATACATAAAATTATAAAATTTTGCCACATGTTACTTTTATATGACATGACATTTTACTTGTTACTTGTTATCCAAAAATTGACTGAAATTCTATCTGATGGGCCATATTAAAAAATGCCTAGAGTAGAAGGATCAAATAAAAAAAGGACTTGAAGGACCACATTAAAAAATATTAAAAGTACTAGGACTAATATACAATTAATCCTTAATAAAAAGCATCCAACTACACAATTCCATTGACATTTATAAATGATATATCTAAGTCTAAGACAACAACAAACAAATCAAAGAAGATTGGATGTTGTGGAAGAAAGTTTGCTCGAGTGAAAAATGTTCAAGTCGTTCATGGAAATAGTCTCAATTTTAAGTTTTTGTGTATGTAAAAAAAATTTTAAGTAGTTGTATCTATTTTGTGCATTTGATAGAATAACGAGGGATTAGTCTTAAGTTTTTGAGTTTAAGATATATTGGGGATCCAACACAAATTAAGATTGGGTTTTTAAAAAAAATGGTAGAATGGATCTTCACATGCAATTAATATAGTATTGCTATTATTGAAATTCTAAAAACCTATAACATATTATATCATCTAGTAAAAAAAAAAAAAAACAAGAAGAAGAAGATGGTGATTAGTAGAAATTAGTGCTTTTTCTTCCACAAAATAAATTAATTACTGGTTTCTTTAAGCAGATGCGTCAGCTCAGCAGATATCCACAAAGTCAAGGCCCAAGAGAAACCCAGAAAATAATTAATCCTAGGCTAAACCCAAAGAACATTCCTGCCCAGCCTGTAGAACGACTGATCACCCCCACCACCGTATCAAAGTAAAGTAATAAATGAAAACATTTTGTTGAATTCTTTTTTTTTTTTTCCCGATAACGCAGGTGTCCGGATCAACTTATGCGCACCTCGATTAATCCTACGGGCCTCGAAGCTAATGATCATGTAAGCCTTCGGTAGCCATCAAGGAAAGTAATCGAGACTCGAACTCGAGATCACGAAGGAGCAAACCCTTTGGTACCAAGTCTTTGTCGCTGCGTCACTCCTAATGGTTACATTTTGTTGAATTCTTGATCATACTCGATCCGACACATTAACACTCATCATTCTCATATGATCCGATTTAGATGATGTCAAATATCCAATTAGTCGAGTGAAATTAACATCTTTGAGATATTAGGATAAATTATAATAACTCTTCTTAAATATTGTAAAATTACAAAAATATTTTTTAAATATTTGACAAAAAATTCAGTTACATTTAAAATAAATATTACACAAATCTCTTTTTGAGCCCTATTATAATCAAGATATCCTTAATTACTATCTTACAAATTTAATCAAATTTAAGTTATTAATTTAATTATCTTTTTTTGAATCGTAATTAAAGATATTTTAGATATAATAGAACAATAAACAAGGTTCCTATAATATTTTCTTAAATATTGAAAAGGTTTTTGTCAAACATTCAAATTTTTGGATGGTCGTTGCAATTTTATAACATTTCAGAAGAGTTATTATAATTTATCGTTACAATTAACTTAAGGTTATCAAAAAAAAAAAAGTAACAATTACTTACAATGTTACAATGACGTGACTCGTAATAATTTTAAAATGTGTATTTTACGTAATAATTAATGCAAGATTAAGTACATAACAGTCAACTAGCTGGCTATTTTCATTCCCTCGTTATGCGAACATCACCAAAAATACTAAAATAGTACTCCATTTGCATTATTATTTTAGAGTTTATCTTCCAACCACACCCACTGCCCTCACCAATGTTTTCAAATCAAGTACCAGATGATAGTACGACATGGTAAATTATAAATAAATCTTTCTGATTTTGAATAAAGAATTAATTAGTTTTTTAATTTTTTATTCATTATTAATCATATTTGATTTAATATTATTTTATTTTAAAAAAATATATTATTTTCTCATCAATCTTTTCATAATATATATTTTTTAAAATAAAAAACAAATTGAAAAAGAAAATAAAACACGTAAATAGTTTTTTAAATAAAAAAAGACTAATTTACTCCATTACAACAACTAACTTTCAAGATGATGTAATTAGGGTGAAAATATCTCCTAATTAGATTAACAATGAATAATTAACTCTATATTCACACAAATCTTATATCATCTTCCATTAGTTGCCCCGTTTTTCTTCTCTCAATATTCTTGATTGGTATCAAAAAGTCTGCTCTTAACTCAGATTTGATGCCGTGACTTCCCAACTAGGGCGAAAACGACTTGTAGCTCATCGGTCCACTATGCAATCCAATCCTTTCCTAGCAAACACAACTACTACGGAGGCTACAAAGAAGTCAACTTATGGATCCAAATCTAGTTTATTTTCACTGACAAAAAAGTTGGAAAGGGCACAGTAGAAAGGCTTTAAATCATCAAAAAAATTAGTTAAACTGAAATAAGTGACTAACATTTGAAAGTTTTAATTCGATAACTATTAAATTTTTTAATAAATAATGAGTCCGTCCGACAAGTTTTTTCAATACTAACGACACGTGAAGATCATATAATAATCTTAGAAACTAACACGTGTTTCATTAATCTAAATTTAAATTGTGATATGATATATGAATATTATTTAACGAGACACGTATTATTTTTTGAGATTATCATGCGATTTTTATACGTTGTTAATGTTGCAAAACCGAGTGAAGAGACTTATAATTTATCAAAAATAATTCGCAAAAGTCAAGTTAAAAATTTTAAATATTCAAAACCCTATTTCAATTTGATAAAACATTCTGAAATTTTTAGATTATCTAGGCTAGTATAAAACTTAAGCAGAATAAATTGTACAATCGTCTTTGAGCATGTTAGAGATCATGACAACTCTAAATATCTATCTTTACATCATGAAATCAATCTTCAATCGCCAAGATAGTAATATCCAATAATATATTGGAAGCATAAGTCATGGAGATATTTTGGGATTTTTTTTTTATTATTGTTGTTAATTGTGTACTAATTAAAACATATTAGTACTTTTCAATGAATCTTATAATTGGTACAACGTCCTTGCCATGAATTAATTACCAAAACACATAATAAATATCTGTCTCCAACGATGTTGGCAGAACACTGAAAAGACAAAGGATTAGTGTGTTGTGTAGCAATGTAAATTATTTCATATTCTTAACTAATGTTATTAACTTCATGTATCCATTCCACATGTAAATTTAACCTAATGATTGTACATTCGATAGTTTTTTAAATAAAGTTCGAATTCCAATAAATTCAATTTTTTTATCTTGATTGCATGTGTATGGAGGGATGATACTATTAAACTTTCCTCTTTCACTTTTTCAATAAATAAAAAATAAAAATATTATCTAAAAGTAGGAGCCCTTGCCTTATTAAGAAAGATTTGGAACTAATTCCCAATTATTTTCTTGCTATTTTCAAAGGGTCTGGTTAATTGCTACCACAAGTTTGATTAACAAGGGAACAAATTTCTTTATTGAAGGAATATAGGAGACAGAGGCGATGGGGGACATGATCACATGATATGTTTATCATTAATCATTAATTTAATACGTGCAAGCAAAAAATCTTGAGAGGGAATCTGAATCTTGAGGAAGAATCCAATCTCACTGTCACGCTTGTCTCAGATCAGTTCCGGTTTCTAACAACATTATAATATTTGGTGGGTCGATCGGGATATAACTTGGAAGGTAAATAATTGAACGGGGACAGATCATGTGAAATGTAATATAATATATTATAATTTGGAAGTGGTCTAGATTAATTCAAAGTTAATTAGAAATATCAATGTAATTTTTGAGTTATAAGTTGGTCCATTACACCCACTTAAATAAATAAAAAAAGAGAAGAGGAGAAATTTTATAATACAATATAAGTAATTAGTGATATGTAACAGTAGTTATTCTATAGGTTCACTTTAGAGAGAGATATAAACATAAAAAAAAAATTATATTCATAATCATCAAAAGTGATAAGAAGATTTTCACATCCGTTTAAATTTTTTTATTTTTTTTTTTTATTTTTTTTATCTCTCTTCTCAAAATGAGTTCAGATAATAACTATTGTATATGCTATTAATTACTTCTAATGTATTATAAAATTTATTGAGAGAAGAGATCTATTAAAAAAAGATTAGAAAAAAA